GGCGAGGAGGATGAAGAGGAGGGAAGGGGAGCGAGGGGAAGCGAGGAGGGTACTGTTAGATTCCACAGCCTTGAGGGTGGCTGGCTCCTGAACATAGTGGAAGGCCACCCCTCCGACGGCCAAAGGAAGTCTTGTCGATGACTTTACGTTGACATAAAGGGGAAAAGTGTGGAGCGAGGAGGGGGAGGAGAAGGACGAGCGAGGAGGTGCGGGGAGGAGGAGGTGTCGCGCGGAAGGGGATCCTGCCCAATCCGGGCACCCGGTGAGGCGAAGCTCATTTTCCAGAAGGAGAGCTGCGACGCACAGCTCCCCGCGGACTGGCGGCTCGCGACCCACGACGAGGCGGCGAGGGGACCTCCACCGCGCCCACCGGCCACATTTTCGTGCAGCTGGGGCCCTGCGCCCTGCGCAGAACCCGTCCCGTGGGGCCCCGCAGCGCTGTCTCGAGGCCTCTTAGGGCCATCTTGGGGCCGTCTGACACCATCGCGGGGGCGCTCCCCGCGACCATCGAGGCGGTCCGAGAAGCCGAACGGGAGGGCTTGGAGCCCGGTTGGTACCCCTGAGGGAGGCCCGACAGGCCCAAGTGGCCCCCCGGGCCATCGCAATTCTGTTGGAGTTTGGGGGTGGGGCCCATCCTGGGTGTCAGATCGAATCGGTATGTGCGTGTATGTATATGTTTTTTATATATTCATACGCACACACACATATATATATATATATATATCATATATATATATATACATGGAATATTTCTATTATGTTTTTACAAGCCCGGGGGGGTGGGAAAACCCCGTCCCCCCCCCCAAAAAAAACGGACCCCCAGAATCGGGGGTTTCCGGGCCCCCCGGACATCCTTGCCAGAGATCCTTCGGCTCGTCCCGAACCTCCCAGGGCGCTTAACCGGGTCCTGCCAGCAGGCTCCAAGTGATCAGAATAGTGACCAGAAAGGCCGAAGAGAGACTCAAGACAGCACAAGAGCGCTCCAAGAAGGACCCAGATGGCCTCCAGAGGCCCCCAAGACGGCCCAGGAGGTTCTCTACAGGACTCCCAGAACGCAAACATCGCTTCATTCCCGTAGGGGAACGTACATGTTCGTCACATTCGCTGTTCGGGTCTTAGCAGCGTCCAAAACAGCCATAAATGCTTCTGGTATCGCCCCAAGACGGCCCAAGAGACCCCTAAGAGAGCCTGTAGACGGCCTTGGCGGCCCCAGGACTGCCCAAGGAAGCCCCACCTGAGTCAAAGAGAGGCCCAACAGGCCTTCACAAGGACTCCAAGAGGAGCCCAAGAAGGCCATTGGAGGCCCCCAGAAAGGCCATGGGAGGCCACCAGGAGGGCCTACCTAGCCCCCGAAAGGTCCCTAGAGGGCCCAAGCTCCCCAACACGGCCCAAGATGGCCCCAAGACGGCTCGAGACGGCCCCAAGCTGGCCCACTGGGGCTCCAACAAGGCCCACACGGCGCTTTCCACCAAACTGACCTGAATCCTGCACTCGCAACCACAAATGCCGGAAATCTATTGCGAACCTGAGATTGGGCGCATTCCCGAAGATTTTCTTTGCGTTCGCGTGCCCCGTTGCGACCCGCTGCAACCCGCTGCAACATTCTTCGCCGTCCCACGACGTCGCTCTCCTCCTCTTCTTTCCGTCGCTCTACCACTCGTCCTCCCCTACATCCACTTCCTTTCTTCGCTCCCCGAGATTCCCTCCCTCCTGTCCCTCGCCCTCCACCCGGCGCCTTTCGGGAACCCCCGGAGGCCCTGGAAGGGCCAGGGACCGCCCGAATTTTCGAAGACTTCCGAAAACCACCGCAGGGAAGGGGCCAACTTTCCAAGGCCACTAGGGATGGCGCGAACGACCAACATATGCAAAGCCTCAAGGACCAAGGTACATGGCGCGACGAGCTAATGCAGTCTTGAAATATGTATGTATGTATGTATGTATGTATGTATGTATGTATGTATGTATGTATGTATGTATGTATGTATGTGCATATATATATATATATATATATATATATATATATTACACTGTTCTCAACGTCTGTAGTGCTGTCGCTCATCGGCCTCCCGTGAGTGTTGAATGTTTGCCAAGCGCCCTTCACCGTCGTGGGCGCTTTGGCTCAAGTCTTAATTTGCGGCTCGCGCCGCCGTATGAGCAGTTCAGAGAAGGCACATTTCGCCTGGGTGATCGCCCGAGATATCTTCAGTTACTGGAGTCGGCCAGAGCCGACCATCTGTACGTGCCAGTGTCCAGAAGTCACGGTCTCTTGCCCCAGCACAGAGTGTAGCAGTCATTTGGAGGTGATACGTGATTTATCGTACGAGCAAGTGCGACAGGCGACCGGCACCAGGTGCCCAGTGTGTGAGGACGTGTCGTGCGTGCCCTTTCCTTGGACGCTCATCCTCGTGCTGATCGCCCTCATCCCGACCGTCGGGTTCGTGGGCTTCCTCCTGGGCAGCAGCATCTCACGGTGCAAGCGGGCGACTGAGGGCACCTCTGAGACCACCTCGGCAGGCGGGAGACGGACCTTCGGGCCGCTCACGCCGGCCACCCTCGCAGCTCTTGAGCGCTAGCCATGGCGGCCGCTGCGGCCGCCGCGCACCGAGCCCTGGATATACCAGAAAAACAGGTGCTCATCAATTTTGACGATGACGCCAACGGCCTGCGTTGGCATCACCGAATACTTCTCATCAAGGGTGGAGACGGACGTTGGGTGGTCGCGACCCCGACATGGAGTATCCAGCTGGCCGACCTGTCGCGACATCACATCAGGGTGCTGCGACGGGGGATGCCAGTGGAGCGGGACTACCTGCCTGAGGCCTTCCTGTTCGACCCGAACGCCTCAGATGCAGAGCTGGCGCGGGCTCGGGCTGAGGCCCTCGAGTTGGCTGAGATCGCTGGCTTTGACCTGTCGGCGGTGCAAGCTCAGGGTGGTGGCGCCGCGCCTGCCCAGGAGGCGGCCTGGCGAGTCGCCGACCCTGCGTCCCCGGCTTTCGGGGAGGAGGTGCCCGTCGGAACGATGCGGGACCAGGAGGCCTCCGTCATCAAGGGTGACGTCGCTCTTCTCAGGCTCGACGGGAAGTGGACCTTCGCCCAGAAGGTCGTCCCCTCCGAGCACGAGGCGTGGCTCAGAGAGAAGCGAGTCGGGCCGGGGCGGGACCCCCGGCTGCTGGCCGACACCAGGGACAAGTCCTCTCAGAGGTTCCTGGACGCCGAGACCGCGCTCAAGATGATGCGCCGGGTGAAGCAGCCCCTCCCGACGTTGGACGGGCCGCCGGCTCTGGACGAGTACGCGGAGGGGCTCACCCGGGTGGGGTTCAATTTCGTGACGCACAACCTCGACTGGGAGGCCAAGAGCGGGGTTGCGCCGAAGGGCGCCGTCGCCCGCGAGCACAAGTTCGTGAGCTCGTGGCTCTACCTCATGCTCACGACCGACCAGTTGGACATCAGCAACCTTCTCTCGGCTGAGCTTGCCGCCCGGCGACTGATCCAGATCGAGAGTGCGGTTCGGCGCAACCCGAAGGCGCCGGACTTCGACGGACTCGACATGGTGATGGCGACGCCGATCGGGCCGGGCGGAGAGGTGATGACTCGGGAGTTCACGAGGTGGATCGCGGAGAGGCAGAAGGACGAGGGCTTCTTGTTGAAGCAACAGAGGCTGTGGCGCGAGGAGCGTGCAGCCGACGACAAGCGGCAGAGGGACGGCAAGACCGGCGGGAAGTCGGAGCACGGTCCCAATGCCGGCGACAAGAAGTAGTATGCATGGGCTTCCCTCTGGTGATGCGGCGCCTCGCGGCCCGAGAGGCACGCCGCAGAGGATCCAGGGGGCTTTCTCGGGCTCGCAGCTTGGGCGCCGCCAGCACGGTGACCCGCTGCCAGTTTTGGTACCTCCTCAAGGGCGACTTGACGCCCTACGTGACCACCGACGTTACCTACAGCAGCGGCTTCGGCGTCGGTGGTATCGCGAGCGGCGGGTGAACTCCGTTCTCGGCGCTCTCAACGCGCTGCAGGAGGGCCCGTCGTGTCCCTTTCGTCGTGCTGATGAGGGACTACACTCAGCCTTTCGGCCGCCTCTCACTGGAACGCAGGACTCCGTGCGCCAGCGAGTTGGGCGGCTTGTTTCAAGTGCTGGAGACGCTCCAGCCGACCTCAAGCCGCACGAAGCCCTCCAGGAGCTTCTGCGCGTGAAAGACTTGTACACTGTGGAGCCGAGCCACCTCGGGAGCTTCGACTTCGACCGTGTGAAGGTGCTCTCGGCTGGCGTGTCTGTCAAGGACATGGAAGACCTGCTGCCCTCCGAGCAGCGGGCTATGTTGGCAGACCCAGAGGGCAAGATTTTGAGGGACTCGTCCGAGCTCGAGTACGACTCTGGGGCCTTCGCGCCGTACTGGGACCCGAAGCTGCGCTTCGACACCTCAGAGCGGCGGCGTCTCATCCTTCGGCTCGCGGAGTTGGGGCTCGTCGGGTTCCGCACCTCAATTCGGGCACGCATCGGTATCTTCGTGGTCAAGAAAAAAGATGGTCTCCAGCGGCTGATCGTGGACGCACGGGAGCCTAACAGGTTGTGTCGACGCCCTCCCCACTCTTGGCTTGGCACAGTGACCGCGCTGACGGGGGTTGACCTCTCGGACTCAGCGATCAGGGCCGCAAGTCAGGATGATGGCGACCTCAGTTGGGTGCAGCCGTCCGCGGGCAGCGTCGACCTGTACAACGGGTTCTACCAGTTTCGGAACCGTCGCATGGGCTCGCTGTTCGGGATCGACTTCGCGGCCAGGGCCGACTACTGGGGGATCTCTGAGGTCTACTGTGAGGCGACGGGCTCCTACCTGGGCGTCTCCGCGGACACCCCCGTCTTCCCTGTCTTCGAGGGGATGGCCATGGGCTGGAGCTGGGCCCTGTACTTCTGCCACGCCACCACCTCCGCCGCTGGCGGTGACAGCAGCGTGGTCGTCGAGGACAGGCACGCGGCGCCGACGCCGACACCCAGCCTGGCCGTCCGGCTCCCCTACGTCGACAACGCCAACGTCATCGGGATCACCGCCGAGTCGACGCAGCGGGCCCTGGAGCACGTTAAGCGGGACTTCGACGCGAAGGCCCTCGACTTCCATGAGGAAAACGTAGCCTCGCCAGAGCTCCAACTACTGGGGGTCGTGTTCGATGGCGTCCGACGACAGATCCGGCCTCTACCGCGACGCACCTGGCGGCTCCACCTAGCCTTGCAGGAGGTGATCAGGAGGGGCTTCGCCAGCGGCCGCGTGGTCCAGATCCTCGTAGGTCACCTCGTTCACCACTTCCAGCTGGTCAGGGCCGCCCTCGCGAGTCTCGACAAGGTCTGGGCCTTCATCGGGGAGCACTACGACGACGAGGCGGAGCTCTGGGACTCGGTTCGCTGGGAGCTCGAGGTCGCGGGCTGGCTGGTCTTCATGGCCGGCGTCGACTTGGGCTCGGAGCCGGCGCCCGTGGCCTTCTGCGGGGATGCCTCCTCCAAGGGCTACGCGCTGCACGTCGCAGAGATCTCCGACGCCGAGTACCGCGAGGTGGCCGCCTGCCGTGAGCGCTGGCGTTTCGACCTTGTCGAGCGGGAGTCCGCGGGCTGGGGGCCTGCGTTGCCCTGGGCCGCCGCCTGGCGTGCTCAACACGGGACTGGCGCATGCCCGCAGCTGGGGCACCTGGAGTCAGGGGGCGGCGCCTCCCAGGGATGGCGCCGACCCTGGCGTCAGCTTGACGAGATCGAGCGCCCCGCTTCGGTGGTCGGCACCCCGCCGCTGCCTGACGCGCTGGTGGACCCGGCGCGGTGGCGACGTGTGGTGCGTGGAGGCTGGAGGTACGACACCGCGATCCACGAGAAGGAGGGCCGCGTGATGCTGATGGGCCTTGTCCGAGCCAGTCGTGAGGTTCGATTCCACGGATGTCGGCTACTCAGCATCGGCGACAACCTGGCCTGCATCTGCAGCTTCGAGAAGGGCAGGGCGAAGTCGTACTGCCTCCATCGTCTCTGTCAGAGGGCCGGGGCCTTGACAATTGCGTGTGGCCTGATTTGGACCCAACGCTACCTGGAGACCAAGAGGAACCCCACTGACGAGGATTCGCGTGCTGCCGATCGCGGAGAGGTCGGCGCTGGTGAGGCTCAGCTCGGACGAGCTGGGCGAGCTCTTTTGCGCAGTGGCCGCGGCTCCGCGGTGGCGCCAGCTCGGGCAGCGCCGAGCCGCCGAGTGCGCGCCGTGGCCGCCCCGCCCATCACCAGCCGCCGGCTGGGGCGGTGTGGGCCCCGCCTGTCGCCCGCCAGTGGAGAGCGTGCCAGTTCCAGTCCCGAAAAGGAAGCCAGCCGTGATGCATCTGCTCGTCGTCGATCTCAGCCCGTCTTCCTCGAAGTGTTTGCTGGGCATGCTACACTTTCGGCTGCTGTGAGCGACGAGGGTCTGGGAATCGGGATGCCCATCGAGATCCGTCGAGGCCCTCATCATGATCTAGGAGATCAACGGCTTCAGCGTCTCTTGAAAAACCAGATCCGTCGTGGAAGAGTCTGGGCCCTCCATCTTGCTACCCCCTGCACCGTCTGGAGTGTGGCTCGTCGTACTGGGACTTCGTCGACCAACTGGGGTACGTCGTTGGCTACCTTTACTAGAGCCCTTCTCAGGCTATGTCGTCAACACGGGGTGCTGTTCACACTCGAAAATCCGAGATCGTCGGGATTGTTTCGTTGGGAGCCTATTCGTCGTGAGCTCGATCGTGCTGGAGCCCACTTCGTTCGATATGATAACTGCGCCTATGGAGCTAACTACATGAAGCCGACCTGTATCGCTACCAACATCCCCGAAATGAAACAGTTAAGTCGGTTGTGTCCTGGAAATCATTATCATGAACACTTGTCTGGGAAAGTAAAGATCGCCGTCAATGGGAAGTCGACTTGGGCCTGGAAGGCCACGTTGGCTGGGCTGTACCCTCCCCGTCTATGCAGGGCCTATGCTCAAATTTTGAGGAGGATCGCGCCAGCCAGTGCCCTACATGCCTCTGATCTGGAGTGGTGGGAGTCTCTCATGGCAGGAGCCACCAAGAAGCCGCTCCCCGCCGAGCCGTGGATCCCACGCTGCCCGCGCGCCTTCCAGTCGCCGTGGGGCCGTGCCGCCAGCACCTGGGGCGGCGAGCGCCGCTGGATCGGGCCGCGACGAGGTCGAGACCGCCCTCGAAGCGTCTCGTGTGGGTGTGGAGCGGCGGCGGGCACTGCGCAGGGCTGCCAGGCGTCGAGTCGCGGGTGAGACCCCAGGCGACGGCTACCTGGAGCGGTCCACCGTGTCGGCGGCAGTGGCAAGGCAGTACCGCCTCTCGGAGGCCTCTTTCGTGGAGTGGGCCTCCGAGGCCAATCGCTGCGCCGACCCTGCCTCCCCAGCCGCTGTCGACCTCTCGCTTTCGGCGTACTTCGATTACCTCTACCTGGATGGATGCGAGCCGTGGGAGGGGCGGCAGGCCCTGTATGGGTTTGCACACGTCCACCGGTTCCCGCGGCCCAAGGACACCTTCCCGCACGCCGTGAAGGCGCTCGCTGGCTGGCTTAAGCGTGCACCCGAGTCCAGTCGCGATCCCTGCCCGTGGGAGGCGCTCGCGCTGCTGGCCACCTGGTTCATCGGGCTCGGGGACCTCGCTGGCGTCCTGGCCGCTGCGTGCGCCGTGGTGCAGATGGACGTCTACGGGCGGCCCTCCGCTACGCTGTCCCTGACGCTGGACCACATCGTCTCGGGCTCCAGTGCCGCCAACCGCCGCTACAACCAGCTCGCCGTCATCATGGCGCCTAGCGGTCTAGGGCGCAAACCAGCCAAAAACCAGCAGTACGATGACACAGTGATCGTGGGTGGGATGAGCCCAGAGCGCGCCTGGATCAGGGCCGTGCTAGAACGTCTCATCGCCCGAGCTAAGCGGCTGAAGCTAAGCTCGCTTTTTGCAGGTCTGGATTTGCCGACGTACGAGGCTCTTTTTCGCCGTGGATCTCAGGCGCTGTCGTTACAGTCTCTTCGCCTGTGTCCACACACCGTTCGCCATGGCGGCCCGTCGGTAGATTTTTTGGAAAAGCGAGGCAGTCTTGAGGACATAAAGCGACGAGGGCACTGGCTCTCGGATCGGTCTGTCGCCCGCTACGGAAAAGAAGGCAAGCTACTTCGCCAGGTGAATAGGATGTCAGCGCAGCAGCAGCGCAATGGCAACCGCGCGGCTGCTGCTCTCCCATCCCTGCTCGACCTTTCGCTTGCTCGCATCCTGAATACCCGCCCTCCCTGACCCTAGAACCACATATGGGATATGGGGCTTTGTGCACGATCCAGCCGGCTGGACTTTTTTGCTGCCTCTCTGCTCAGAATGATCTGCCGGTTCAGTCATCTTGTTTCAGTGTGTGCAGCAACGGTGCCAGCTCGCTCGTGCTTTGTCCTGTTGTGAAGTTTGTTGTGTGGCAACAATCGGCTGGAAAATAGTGATATCGCTGGGCTTCGCCTTTAATCTCACGTCTGGCCTCGAGTCGCCGACTCGAGTCATCTGGGAGGCCACCTTGTACAACGCAGTGCTATTACACTGTTCTCAACGTCTGTAGTGCTGTCGCTCATCGGCCTCCCGTGAGTGTTGAATGTTTGCCAAGCGCCCTTCACCGTCGTGGGCGCTTTGGCTCAAGTCTTCCCAATCCCTCCCACCCTTGGGGGGCTTTGTGCACGATCCAGCCGGCTGGACTTTTTTGCTGCCTCTCTGCTCAGAATGATCTGCCGGTTCAGTCATCTTGTTTCAGTGTGTGCAGCAACGGTGCCAGCTCGCTCGTGCTTTGTCCTGTTGTGAAGTTTGTTGTGTGGCAACAATCGGCTGGAAAATAGTGATATCGCTGGGCTTCGCCTTTAATCTCACGTCTGGCCTCGAGTCGCCGACTCGAGTCATCTGGGAGGCCACCTTGTACAACGCAGTGGTACATAGATATATATATATATATAACCGCCAAGGATTGCAACAGCAGGCTCAAGGGTGATCGAAAATACAGCGGTCAGGACAAACGACCGGCCACTATGGATATGGATGCCTAAAACGCCTAATGCGAAACACCTCCGCCCCCTCGCCTTTTGGAACCGCCCATGCGGCCGAACGCTGGGCCGAAGCCTGGCCAAGCTCTTGGGCAATGGTTATGACTTCCCCCAGCCGTTGTGGAACCCCTTTGGGGAACATTTGGGAGAGGAAATTAAAGGAGGAGGAGGAGGAAGAAGAGGAGGAAGAGGAAGAGAGGAGGAGGAGGAGGAGGAGAGGAGGAGGAGGAAGAAGAGGAGGAAGAGGAAGAGCAGGAGGAGGAGGAGGAGGAGGAGGAGGAGGAGGAGGAGGAGGAGCAGAGGAGGAGGAGGAGGAGGAGGAGGAGGAGGAGGAGGAGGAGGAGGAGGAGGAGGAGGAGGAGGGGGAGGAATGGGAGAAGGAGGAGGAGGAGGAGGAGGCTGCGGAGGAGGACGAGGAGGCCCCTTGAGGCCGTCTTGAGGCCCTCTTGAGGCCCTCTTGAGGCCTCCTGGTTGCTTCCTGGGAGCCTTTTGGGTGGGCTCGGAGGAGCCTCTTAGGGCGCAGGCCGTCTTGGGGGCCCCTTGGGCTGTCTTTGGCCCCTCTTGGGCCGTCTTGCAGGTCTCCTGGGGGCATCTTTGGCCGTCTTGGGGCGATCTTGGGGGCCTGTGGGCCCGAATTGGCGCGTCGGAAGCCCGAAACAACGAGAATCGCAAAATCAGTGAATACTTTTGAATGATATCAATGGTTTGGGCGTCTCTGGAGGTCGTCCAGGAGCGCTCGTGGGGCGTCTAGGGGGCCTTTGGGCCTTCAGAGGCCGCCTTGAGCCCTCCCTGGACAGTCGTGGGCCCCTCTCTGGGTGCTTCAGGGCCGCCTTGGGGGTCGCTCGGGCCGTCTTGGGGGCCGTCCTGGGGGCCTCTTGGGCTGTCTTGGGGCCCTCTTGGGCCGTATTGCGGGCCGCTTGAGGGCTTCTGGGTCGTCTTGGGGCGATCTTGGGGGCCTCTTGGGCCCGCCTTCGGGCGTCGGAACCTCGAAACGGAGAGAGAGCTGAAATCATTGGAACATCTAAGGATCATCAATGGTTTTGGCCTCCTGGAGGTTCTCTTGGAGCCCTCTTGGGGCGTCTTAGGGGCCTTTTGGACTGTCTGGTGGACATCTTGTAACGCCTTGAGGCCATCTTGGCCATCTCGGAAACGTCTGTGGACCATCTTGGAGGCAATATTGTAAAACATTGACTGCCGTGGAGGCATCTTGGCGGTCATCTTGGGCCATCTTGGCCGTCTTGGGCTGGAAAGACTTATGACCCTGAGGTTTGCCGCGTGGTCGGCCGGATGGGCCGAGACCCCACTGGGAGTTCTTCAGAACAGTGCAAACAATGTGCCAGACATTCGGCACGCCGTGCACCCGTTTGATCAATCCACAGCGGGCGGCAGATCCAGAGGCCTTCGACCCATCCCGCAACCGTGCCTGGGTTGTAGGTCAGAGGCCTCTGGGATGCACGTGGTGATCTCTTGGGAGGCCTCTGGGGCGCCTCTTGGATTCAGTTTTGGGGTGTCTTGGGGGCCTCTCGGGGGTCTCTACGATTTTGGCTTTGGCATCTTAGGGCCCCCTGGGGGGTCCTCTTGGAGCCCTCTTGGGGCGTCTTGAGGACCACTTGTGCTGTCTGTGGGCCATCTTTGGCGTCTTGGAGCGAAAATTGAGCGAATTGGGGCCTTCTTGAATCGTCTTGGAGGGCTCTTAGAGCCCTCTTCGCCCATCATAGGGGCCCTCGGGCCTCTGGAAAAGTCACGCGAGAAAGCCGGAGAGCGCGCGGGAACGCCGGGCGGAACTGAGAGTTGGGCCCCCCTGCCCATAAATGCCAAAATTTGGTACAGAATAGAAAAGTTTTACAAACTTGGGGAACACTCCCCGTCGTGCCTCGAGGCACGGTGGCAGATATAGATATATGGTCGAGGGTTTGCCCCCCCCCTCCCCCCCCAATGCTAAGCCATCGGGCCCCCCCCCCGCGCGATGGCCCTCCCCCTCCCTGTGGGCGTGGGCGTGGCGTGGTGGCTCCCCCCCCCCCTGTGGATGTGGTGTGGGTGTGGTGTGTTGCTGTGGGTGTGTGCGGGGTGACGCCATGGTCCTCCTCCTCCCCTTCCCCCCCCCCTGTGGGTGCGGTGTGCGTGCGGGGTGTGGCTGGGATTGGCGTCATGTTGACAGCTCCGGTGCTCGACGTCGTCGCCGCCGCCGCTGGTGGTGCTGTCGACGTCGTCGTCGTTGTCGTCGTCGTTGTCGTCGTCGTCGTCGTCGTCGTTGTCGGTACCGTCGTCGTCGTCGTCGTCGTCGTCGTCGTCGTCGTCGTCGTCGTCGTCGTCGTCGTCGTCGTCGTCGTCGTCGTCGTCATCGCCGTCGTCGTCGTCGTCGTCGTCGTCCTCCTCCTCCTCCTCCTCCTCCTCCTCCGCCCCCCCCCCATCCCATCTCGGGGGGGCCCGAGGACCCTGGGACCCATCCCATCTGGGGGGGGGGGCCGTGGGCCCAGAGCCCGCGATCATATATGACACATCCACGTGGGAGAGGTGCCCCCCGCACTGTACAGCATCAGTGCAGAGAGGAGAGCAGCATCGTGTGGTTGCGGAGGAGAGGGGGAGGTGGAGACGGGGGGGAGAAGAAGGAAAGCGTGGGCCGTTTCAGCCTGGATCGGCATGCGTGTCGAGGTGTGCACCAGCTCGGCAGATGGAGGGCGGCTTCTCTCTGTATGGGTACCTCGCCTGAGACTTCCGCTGGGCGTGGGTGCTTGCCGGACAGAGGCTCTGACTCATGGAGCAGCTTCGCGGATGGAGGGCGGTTCCTCTGGAGAGCGGGACGGTCGCTGGGCGACGTCTATTTCAACTTTGTGACCCCACCGTGCCGCATTCCGTACTGGGGTTGAGGAGGGCGGGGGGAGGGAGAGGAATGAGAGGCAGAGGGGGGGGAAGGAGGAGGGGAGGGGAAGGGGTCTCGATTTTTTGTTGTTTGGTCCATCAAGGCATGCCTGGGGGGCGGGGGGGGCCTTCCGGGCCCTAGGGCCGTCACGAGTCGTTCTGGGATCAGAGCCTGGGTTGACCTCAGGGAGGGGGGCCCCGAGGAAGCACCTGTGAGCGGATTTTGACCAGCGGAGGAGGAGCAGGAGGAGGAGGGGGAGAAGGAGGACGAGGAGGAGGAGGAGGAGGATGAGGAGGAGAAGCGGGAGCAGGAGGAGGAGGAGGAGGAGGAGCAGGATGAGGAGGAGGAGGAGGAGGAGGAAGAGGAGGAGGAGGAGAAGGTGGAGGAGGACGACGACGACGACAAGGACAACGACGACGAGGACGACGACGACGAGGACGAGGACGAGGACGACGACCCCGACGACGACGACGACGACGCCGAAAACGGCGCCGCCGACGACGACGACAACGATGACGACGACGACGACGACGACGACGACGACGACGACGACGACGACGTCGACGACGACGACGACGACTGACGACCGACGACGATGACGACCGATGACCGACGACTGACGACCGACGTCGTCCAGGGGGCATCTGGATGCCCCAAGCTGGTAAACCACGTCACAGAGCCTTGATCCTCGAAGCTCGATCCTCGACCGATGCTCGAACCTGGATCGACGACGACAACGAGGAGGAGATGGGGTGAGGAGGACAGGCGGGTGCCACGTGGGGCCCCAGGTGAAGAGGAACCTGGACGAGGTCCAGGATAAGCTCGGGCAGTGGGATACCTGCATGTTGGCCGACAACTGGAAGGTCGACGGCCCAAGCTGCGGATGCAACGCCATCCTCCGTGGGCTTCCCCACGCCTTGAACAAAACACAGTGTTTTTGTTCCCAACCATCCTGTGGTGTTGGGCCCTCGTTTTGAAGAGACAGCGCCCAGCGTCCCACCTCTCCTCTCCTCTCCTCTCCTTCTCTCCTTCTCCTCCCCCTCCTTCCTCCTCCCGTCACCCCCTTCGCTGTGGCACACCCCTCACACGTTTCGTGGCCCCATAATGTGGCTCCACCGACGGCCAAAATTCCAGCGCTCGCATGCGCTCACCGCACCCACTCTGGTATGCCAACACACTTTCGCGACCCCTAGGGGGCCCCACCGAAGGCTCAGATGCCAGCGCTCGCATGCGCCCACCGCTCTCATTTTTTCACACACACACACAGACACACACAGACACACACACACACACACACACACACACACACACACGCACGCACGCACGCACGCACACACACACACACACACACACACACACACACACACACACACACACACACACACACACACACACACACACACACGCCTCACACGTTTCGTGGCCCCGCAGGAAGCACCACTGAAGGCTCAGATGCTAGCGCTCGCATGCGCCCGCCGCACCCATTTTGGCACACCCCTTCGCACGCTGCGTGGGCCCATAGGGAGCTCCACCGAAGGCCCAGATGCCAGCGTTCTGCCCACCGCGCTCACTTTGGTACGCCCCCCCCAACACTCTTCGTGGCCCCGTAGGAGCTCCACCGAAGGCCCAAATGCCAGCGCTCGCATGCGCCCACCGCGCCCATTTTGGCACACCCCTCACACGTTTCGTGGCCCCATGTGGAGCCCTACCGAAGACCCAAATGCCAGCGCTCGCATGCGACCACCGCGCCCAGTGTGATTGGGGTCTTTATCAGGCCAATACGTTTTTCCGGTGTATTTATGTATTCTCGGCCCCCCAGACCCCCCGCCGGGCTCCCAGACCGTCAACAAACGAGCCAGGATGACAAGCCAGTCCCGGGGAGGGGTCGAGACCTCTGGAGGTTCTCGTCGTGAGAAGCCACGGCCTCGGGCGTCTGGGTCCCCCTCCGCCCCCTCCCCCCCCCCCTCGCCGTCAGGCTGGCAACTGCTCGCATTGCCGCTACGGGGGCGAGTCGCACTGCCTGGGCCAGGGGTGGCACCGCCCCGTCACGCGGTGTGCTGCCCATGACGCTCGCGAAGGCAGCTGCCCGTCACGCGCGCAGTCCTGCACTCCCCTGTGCGGGTCGTGTGTGGCGGGCCCCCCTCCCACCCGATTAGGTGCATGCCCTGAGCTGGGCACCGGCCGCCTCTCGAGGCGTTGGGCGCCGCCGCGCGGCGCCACGACCGCTCAGCGCGCCCGTCGCAAAGGATGTCTGGGTCCTCTCCCTCACCTCCTTTCTCCCCCTCTGCCTCCACCCCCTCCCCTCCTCTTCCCCCTGCTGGCCGACACCTGGCAGGTCGATGGGCGGGGCTTCGGCTGCAGCGTCACGAAGCAGTGGCGCGACGAGCGCTTGGAGGACGCCATCTTCGTGAAGGCTCCTGGGCGACGACGCACGAGCCTCGAAACGGGCCACCGATTCGCGGGCTGCGACGCTCCTGGCTGCCTTTATGAGTTGTAGGGGGCCCTTCGATTCGGGAATTACGCAATCATGTCGGCCGGCATCGGTTCGACAGAGGAATTGGAGGAACGATGGGGTTGCAATATCAGGCTAGCAAGCAATCGCGCACGCGAGCACGTGATCGCTCAAGTATGCAAGAACGGACGCGCGCAAAGAAGAATGATACGATGACGAGTAGTAATATTAAGAAACACGAATTACCCCAGTGCGACCCTACCTAGAAGTTGGAGCCCCTAGGAAAGCAGCATTAGTTGCTATGCTATGCTGTGCCATTCCATGCCATGCTATGCTGCGCTATGCTATGCTATGCTATGCATTGCTATGCTATGCCATGCTATGCTGCGCTATGCTATGATCTGCTACGCTATGCTAAGCTATCATATGTCATGCTGCGCTGTGCTATGTTAAGCTATGATATGCTATGCTCTGATATGCTATGCTATGCTATGCTATGCTGCGATATGCAATACAATGCGACGCTATGCTATGCTATGCTATGCTATGCTTGGCTGTGTTATGATATACTATGCTATGCTAACGCAGCGCTGCGCTATGCTAAGCTAAACTCAGCTAAGCTAACCCTCTAGGCAGAGCCTAGGTAGGGAATTACACCCATGCTATGCTATGTTATGCTGCGCTGTGCTATGCTGTGCTGTGCTGCGCTATGTTATAATATGCTATGCTATGCTGCGCTATGCTATGCTATGCTGGGCTGTGCTATGATATGCGATGCTGCGCTATGCTATGCTACGCTATGCTATGCTGTGCTCTACTATGCTAAGGCTCAACGAGGCTAAGATGAAGGTACGCTAGCTAAGATAAACCTGAGCTAAGATGAAGCTAAGCTAAGCTAAGATGAAATACGCTAAGCTAAGTTGAGATAAGCAACGCTAAGCTAAGGGAACGCCACTGGGGGAACTGCGGGGCGGATACTGGGGGAACCGCCCGGGGCGGGCCCCACTGCCTGGCCCTTTAAGCTTACCGAGTAAGAGCCCTTCTAGGCAGAGCCTAGGTAGGGAACAATGATAACATTATCCGTGATAATAACAAGGCGAATCATACGAATAGGAAGAATAATAAGCATGCGAAGAAGATGGCTGGGTACACATGCGGACAATCACGCACGCAAGCTCTCCAACACACATGTGCGCTTTGAATCCAAGCCGCCTACGGCGAGTCACCGCCGCCCTTCCTTGTTGAAGTGCCTATGTGGCCAGATGTTTAGCCGAAGGGCCTAGCTATTGGCACGCATGCTTCCCCATCCGCTGCCCCAGTATTTGTGGATATTCTGGCGCGCTACCCCACGGCGGCCCTTTCGGAAATCCTTGTGGGGGGCGTCGGGGTCGGTCCCAGGGGCTATCCCAGGAGTTTCGTGGAATTTTTTGGGGACAGATCCTGGGCCATGCCGTGGCCTCTTATCCGCATGGTCTTGCCGCTGGTGCCAAATCAGCGCACGAACAGCGCCAGGGGCGGCGCCGCAGGTGTCGACCGTACGGTGCGGGGGAGGCGTTCGGCGCTGGCTGAAAGATCATCCGCGAGCGTCCTAACGTTTATGCATGTCCATGTGCTTTTCTGGTTCTCCACTCGGGTCTGTAGCCACCTTCCTGGCAGGACCCTGTTCGATCGTGGGCACTGCTGGCGAGTGTACCTGCTCCCCCTTCCACTGCGTCTTGCCCTGGCCAATTTTTCCGAGTAGCGTCAGCTTGTGATTAACAGATCCGTGGGGGGCGCGTGTTTAAAAAAATCTTTCCCTTGCTCGGGCGAATCGCGGGGCGGCTCTCGCCAGATTGAAAATCAACGGGGCCGCGCCGGTGATTAGCGCCGACGCCTGGCCGCCAACGAGAGGCAAAGGAGGGGGGTCGGGAGGCAAGGGCGAGCCAGGGCGCCTTTCTTTGTGTCAAACCGATGCGGACCGGCGGGCAAGGCGGGCTGGACGAAAGTGGGGCGCAGCAAAACGGGTATTTGCCAAGCGGCTCGTGCCGCCGATTTCCGGAGCGCCTCCTGGCGCCGACAGCGGCCATGCGTCGAGGATTGGCCCTTCGGCGGGGCGACCGAAACCAGCTGCGCGCAGCAGGCTTCGCAACCCCCCCTTTCCTTCGCCAGCCTTTCGTCCGACCCGAGTAAAGCGGATAGTCCTCCTCCCCCTTTGTGTCGCTGTCGCCGTCGTCGCCGCCGTCCCCCGCCCTGCCTGCGCCCGTTTCCAGCGGCCGCTCTCTTCGTCGCTCGGGCCTGACTGTCTGTCGCTACGGCGGAAAGCGCCCTGAAGAAAGCGGGCCCTGGACCCCGTCGCCCGCGGTCGTTCTTCGGCTTCGCGGCCCGCCATGGGCCGTAGAGGGGGTCCGCCGAAGGCTTTAGCGGCCCGAAAGCGAGGAAAGCCCGCCAGGGCCCACTTCCTTCAGAACGCGCCCCCGCCGCTCGCGGCGGGGCCAGCGCCCCGCGGGTTCTATTCATCACCCCCGGGGGGGGTCATTTGCCAATCACAAACTGGCATTATCGGACCTCCTCCTTTCTCTTCTGTTCCTCATCCCCCCTTTCCCCCCCCTCCCCCTCCCTCCGCCTTGTCATCCTCCGTTTCTCATATTATAAACAACTCCGCCCCGTCGCACCACCAGACGCGTTGTTAGGGCGGGCCTGGCGTTTCGCCGGAGATTTGTTCACCGCCTACGATCGCGAGGGCCTGGCATTTCGAACGTTTGCTCGGGTGGAGGGCGGGAGCTGTCGCCTTGGCGCCGGGCTCACCCGTGTGAGAACAACATCCGTTGTGTAGACGGAAGGCGGCCCATTTCAACAAAAATGGGAATTTCGTCTTGGCGCCCCGCGCGCTCGTCTGCACCACATCCATCCTGACACGGCTAGAGGTCGTTTCCTGTTCAATACGGATTTTTCGCTCGAGATGTTCTCACTACGTGCTACCGCAAGTGCGCGACACTTACTCGGATCGTCGGTGACTCCTCGTCAAGATTGGGTTTTCGTTAGCGGCTGCGTTCAGTGCGGCACGCGGCCTGCAAGTGTGCACCAGTTACAAGGATGCAGGGCAGCGTCTGCTCAAACAAGGGTTGTCGCTCGACACTTCCTGAAACTTTATGACTGCGCCCTGTCGGATCCCCTCCAGCTCGAAGGATGGATGGTATCTTCTTTCAAGGTGGAACTCCCGCCTTGCTCCTCGACAGCTCAAATCGAATCGGGCGACTATACTGAGGGCATTGTGGCAGACATGCTGAAGACGGGAGGCGGGTCGCTAAAGGACATACTCCGCAACCTGTACAAGAGCATTACCTTTCCCGCAGCTCCAACGCCAGGCTGCTGGAAGAAAACGGCCATCAAAGTCAGTACCAAGTGCGGCAATTCCCAACTACCCAACAACTACCGACCTATTGCGATTATACCGCCGTTGTACAATTATTAGCAATATTGTTGTATAGCCGACTACACCCCACTTTCGACCTCCCAGCAGAGCAGCGACCAGGCCGATTTCGGGCTTCGCCGCAGCACGTGCGACCATTTGTTCACGATCACACAACTCCACGAGACCACCGACGAATGGCAAGTACCGTTATGGGCAGCCGCCGTTGATTTCAAGAAGGCCTTCGGTACAGTCACCCATCAGAGCATATGGAGGGCCAAGCTCTACGACGGACAGACAGCCACCGTCCGGACGGACAAAATGAGCAGGGAAAAGGCACTAAACAAGGTGCCCATTTGAGCTCATTTATTTTTCAATTGCGTGTCAGAACATGCCATGCGCAATATCAAGTACACGTGGTCAGCATTTTGGTCTGCAGTTGCAGCATGGACACGAGCGACTCACCAATCTTCTATTTACAGACGACATCGTTCTGATTGCAGGATCGGTGCGACACATCACAGACACGTTGAAAACCTTAGCGAAGAAGCTGCCAAGTCAGGGCTCGAACTACACCCCGACAAAACAAAGGTTTTTTCGCAACGGATGCCAGGGAACACGCAACATGAGGATGCCCAACAACGTAGTGGTCATCCGAATGTCAATCGATGTGTTGCCGCCGTACAGGGCAACGAAGTATCTTGGAAACCAGATTCAATTCAGCGGTTTTCACAACGCAGAGCTACAACACCCTTTCTCCACAACCTGGAGGCGATTCTTTGAATTGCGATAGGGGTTAACGAGCAAACACTACTCAATAAACAAAACAATCCAGCTGTTTCATGGGACCATATTTCCGACTGTGTTGTACGGGTGTGAAGAGTGGATCATGACAGTGGATATGGAAAACCGACTCCGGAAGACGCAACGCCAGATGTTGCGCATTATGCCACGCACACCCAGGCGCCGGGATCAACAAACAGATTTGGACACACGACCTCCTGACAGCGACGGTCTCGAGCCGCGGGTGGATTACATTCGACGGTCTACCAAGAAAGGGGACTAAGCATTGAATACGATGCATATCGACGACCTGGATATCCATCCGACGCCGACGAAACATCGAGATGGGCCAAGAGGGTGTGCAGTTCAGAAGCACACGAGTGGACATCCAAGGCTCTGCGATGGGACCCGCAACAGGATCCCGTGTGGTGCGTGACGGAGACCTGGCCGCCCAAAGAGCAGGTGGCGTGACGACATCCGACAACATGCCAGGCAACATGGGATATCGATTGACAACATTGACACGTGGGAGATCCCAAAGCCAAGCTATGTCGGCAGGTCTGCGCCCGAATCTTCGATGTAGCGCCCGAATCTTCGATGTAATTGTGCATTCGCTATTTTTTCTGTTCACTCATGTTGCTTACATACTTGTATTGTCTTGCATCGTCGTAGGGACAACTGAGGCTGGGACCTTTCACGGGAGGGTGTCTTGCAGCATCATCGGTACATTTTGGGTTTGCTTTGGTCCTCTTCCTCCTCCTCGTCCTCCTCCCCCTCCTCCTCTTTCTCC